ATATTTGCTAATACCCTGTAATTATTCATCAAAAACGGGAAAATAACGTGTAAAATAACGTTCTTTTCCTTTTTATATTAATGAAATTAATATTTTATTGAATTTTCTTATATTTCGCTAACTCTTTCTGTTCCAAACTCGACTTAAAAAAGAAGAGGAAAGGACTAGATTGGAACTTTCTTGGAAAATCAGAGGTAATGTGGAATGTGGTTAATTCAAAAGTTAGGAAATATGTAAAAACTATTTTGGGTATTACAAAAATAGAAGGCAATACTGTAGATAAGATATATAGTGGTGGAAACAGGCAATTCAAAGAAGAAACAGACCTTTAGAAAGTTTGAGTTGATAGTGACAAGAGCAGTAAGTTAGTAAGTACAAAGTAGCAAAAGTAGGAAGACTAGAAATAAAGTAATAGTGCGAAATATAATACAGTATATTAGATTATATATATGAGAGATTAAATAGTAGAGAGATAATATAATACAGTATATTAGATTATATATATGAGAGATTAAATAGTAGAGAGAGAAAAAAGAACAACTATAGAATGAGAAGGTTTGGGGAAAGGAAAAGCAGGGATGTGAAGACTAGGTGGATGGAATACTTAAGTAAGGTTTGAATGAAGGTCAGGATTAGTCATTAGCTCAAATATAGAAATCAAAGAGACTACGATTAAAAATATGAGGTTTATGAGGTTTTATGAAAAGAATAAAAGGTGTAGGACCAAATTGGATCCTTGTTGACATATGGGAAATTTTAAACGAACTAGGAATAAAATGGTGTTAGGTTATTTAATAGGCTAGCGATAGGGAACCCGATGCCAGAGTAATAGAGATAGAGCTGGATAGTACCATTATGTAAGAAAAAAAGGTGTGGAATAGAATATGGTAGTTATAAAAAAAACTAAAATTAATGAGCCACATGAGAAGCTATGAGAACGGATCATAGATGATAAGATTAGGACTAGGACTAGTATAAGTAGAAATCAGCTTGTATTTACGTCGGATAGATCAACGTGAGAACCAATTTTTGCAGTTAAGAGAGAGTATGGAGATAGAAGAAGCTCTAGAATAGTATTAAGTCTATGTTCCTTTATCTCAGTATTAGATGAACTGTTAGGGGTATGGTCAAGACAGAACCATGATATAGTACTGTACATGTTATTTGCAGATGATATAGTTATAGCTAGTGAAGATGAGGCAGAATTGCTAGAGGAGATAGAAAAGATTGGAAATTGATTAGAAACTGAAGAATTAAAAATTAGAAGAGAGAAAACGGAGTTTACATACTTTGACTTTAACTAACCTGCACTCTCTTTCCTTACCATTATTGGAGATAAGGAAATAAAGAGCGAAGAGAAATTTAATTGGGATCAATGTTAGAGAATAGCGTCGAGTTAGACATAGATACAGCAAACAGAATACGTGTAGAATGGTAAAAGTGGCGGAATGCAAGCAAAGTACTTTGTGATAAAAGAGTGCCAATTAGATTAAAAGGAACATTTTATGAGACAGTTGTTAGGACTACGATATTATATAGATCTTAATGTTGGGGAATGAAGAAACTCAGGTTTATGTGTTGTGTTACCATAGCTGATGAGATTCGGAGTGAGCATATAAAGCAATAGTTTTAGTCTTTTTCTAATAACGGCATTCCCAACTACGTAACTTTTTCTTACGGCACCTTACTTCTTTATCAATATAAAGTTATTGCGCTTTTCATACTTTTAGTAATATATATTAGAAGGGTTATGGCGCTGCTCAACATTATATTTCGCGGCACCCCAGTTGAAAACCACTGATATAAGGGATAATTTAAGAGTAAGGGGCATTAGAAAGAAGTTTATAGATTTAGGTGAATTAAGCATATGGTTAGAAGAGAAGATGAATTGATTAGACACATTAGGGACATAGACTTAGAAACTAAGAGAAGCAAAGGTAATCGAAAAGAAAGTTGGAAATTAGCAGTTAGAAAAGATTTAAAGGAACTCAATTAAATGAGGAGATAGCGAAAATGGGATAGTTTGGAGGGCTAGCACGTCAAGACCCGACTCTTCCATGAGAGGGAAAAGGATGGACGATAATTATAATTTCAGATTTCGATGTTAAGTTAAAACTTAAACTTAGGTTATTTAATTTGCTAGATATTTCATTAAAATTGTGTATCTAATATGCGATGAATTACATTATGCGAATATATATAATTTGTATTAATTTATATAATATACATAAACCTATATGTTAATTAATGTAGGATATAATTTAATTAACATATGAATAATACGATAAAAAATAAGACAAAAACTAAATTATGAAAATAAAAATTATTTAAAATTTCTGATTTTATTTTTAAATTTATAGACAGGTATTTTTTTCTTTTTACTCGATTTGTCTATGAGAAAAATGAGAATTAGTATAAGATAATTTGTAGTAGCTTATGGTGTTTTTTATTCAAACGTATTCATAATCTAGCAAAGTATAAATTAATTAATAAAATATGAGTTATTCATATCATGTCATCATTTTGTTTAGTTTTTCTCTAATATCAATGAAATTAAAGTATTAAAATGCATTATTTTAGTTTCTAGCAAATGAATTCATATTTTAAGAAGAAAAATAAAACATTTCAATTTAAAATTGAGACCAAACACTATGAAAAGTGTGTATTTTGCTTTTATATAGCTAAATTCAGCATTAATTGATGAAATTTAAGTCTGTTATTTTTCTTCATTTTTATTATTTATCCATTATTTTTTAAAGAAAACTTTTATTTTGATTACTTTAAGCATTAATTTGTTTAATCTAGTGATAATTAAAGATTTCTTCTTCGTGTTTTGTTTTGTTTTACGCACTTCTGGAATTATCAGTATCACGTCTCTTATGTCAAAAAATGCATGAAGATGTCAAAATTAGAGAGTAAATCCGTGATATCCTGCAGTCTGAACATTATGACTTGAAACCCTCCCTGTAAACCTGTTGTCTAAACCTCCACCCTCTTAAGGGGTGGAGAACTAACCAAGGAGGAAGCCTGCAAAATATCACTAATGTTATCATGTCTCTAAATTTTCAGTTGATATTTTCTGAGATTTATTTTTAAAACTTTAAAATATTATACTATCGAATTTTCATAACAAAAATATTTAATATCTTCGAAATTCTCAGTAAGTGTAGCCTATATCAGAGCATATAATGTTATTATTTGCTTACATAACCGAGCAGCAATATTATTAATTCGATAAATTAATAATATTACATATTACAATAATAGTGATATACTTAATAATATAAGACCAAACAATATTATTACTTTATTTAAATTATTCTTTTAATATTTAAAAGTTCTATACTCTTTAAATACAGTACATTAAGATTTATTTTAAGATTAATTTTAGTGTTATTTGGTTAAAGACTTTATTTTTATTTCTCCAATTAATTACTATACGTTACCAAGAAGCACTTTAATTAATTAATTGCAGTGATTAATTTTGTCAATGTGATTAATTAAATCAAACTGTTTCATTTAATAGATTTATACAAGCCTACACCAAAAGGAATAAAGAATTTATCCTTTTCTGTTAAACAAAACAATTTAAAATAATTTCGTAATATTTTAATTAATCTAGAATTTAATTAATATCATTAAAGTTTTAATTTTTTTATATCATTTTTAAGTGTAGAGTTTATTATAAGTGCTTCAAACAGAGCAGAAAATGCTATATTATATGCCTATAAACAAAGCACTTATATAAATACAATCGAATGAAATTGTATGGAAATTAATTTATTATTAGTTTTACTACTTTATAAATAAAAGTTTAGTCGTTTTTCCAAAATAAAATACAGTAAAACCTGTCTAAAACGGAACCTGTCTAAACGAGAAAATTCGTTGGAACGGAGCGATTTTCTATATTAAAAAAAAATACTTGTTTAAAACGGAAACTGCCAAACCGGAAAAAATATTCAGCACAGTGCGATACCGGTTTACACAGGTTTTAATAAAATTTAAAAATATATACTAATAAATTTAATGTATTATTCATAATATTTAAATTTTTTTCGAGATTAAAACTTAATGTTCTTTTATTTATTTATTTAATGTTTATAAAATTTTATTTTATACAATAGATAAGACAATAGTTTAATATAATTTAATTTAATATTAAAATAAAGCAAATATTCGTAACAATTTTTTGTTAACTTATCAAACAATGCTGCCTTTTCTTTATTAGTTTTGCTTTGCAAAAGTTTTATTTTCAAATCTCTAATTGAATTATGACAATAAATAAGAAAATAAATTATCGTTAAATACTTAAAATCCAAATTGGGACGCGGAAAAACTAAGAAAATGGAAACAAAAAAATAAAACAAAAGCGCAAGACACAATAAAATAAACATTTTAAGCATTTGAGAAATTTTTATTAAAACAAAATCAACTTTTTTTGACTACAAAATCAATTTTTTTAAAAAAGATTTCGAGCTCTTTTTTTATTTTAAAAATGTATATCTATTGTTTGTAAATATAAAGTTTTTTAATATTTTTAATTGTAATAAAGATATTTACGCGTAAAAAGTATACTTAATAAATCCTTTTCTGTATTAATCCGCATTAAACGATAAATACGTAATTTCAATTGTCAAATTAATTTCAATTTAAAAATAACGACGCTAACAAATCATAAATGAAGATTCGGTCACGTGTCACCAAAACGTCACATCAATAAAACTTCGGATTGGAGGAAAATGACGTCATACCTCACATTGCGGTAAGTTCAAACGCATCCATACGACTAACTCGATTACTACTATATTTTTATAAGAAATATTAAAAAAGGATAATAAAATAATAAATTAAATTTAAGAAAATAATATTAAAACATTCGAAAAAGTCATTATATTACGTTTTAAAAGAGTTTAAAACTACTTTTACGAAGTTTATCCAGGTTTGGAAGAGAATGCGCACGCGTATTGGATTGCCCCGTTTATTCGAGGTGCCGTCGAGTCTGGAAAGGAGCATTAGTGCGCAGGTCAGCCTACCGCCTGCGGTACACAGAAAACGGACAGTTTCCTCTAATTCTCAACACAAGTGTACTTCGTTAAAACCAATGCAAACAGTTTTTGTTTCCCAAAATGAAAATCGCAAGGAGTCAAAGGTTAGTCCGCTTCTTCTATAATTACTCAAAGAAAATTCCCTTTTCTAGAAAAAACAATTCTAGAAACCGACCAAACGATCGTCTGCTTCTCATAGACATCGTCTGCCACGATTAAAAATTTTAATTTAAAATATTAAAATAAAAAAAAATTAATTTTTTTTTTTAAATTTTAAATTATTTTACGAGTAATTTAAGTAATTAATCGCGTGTATTTTTATTTTTAAATCGTAAAAAAATCGATATAATTATTATTATTATTTATTAGATAATTGTCGGATAAATTCTAGACAATTAGAATTTTCTAGAATTTATCCGACAATTACGTAATAAATAAAACTTTCGATAAATTCTAGATAATTACCGTTGTCTAGAATTTAAGTAATTAATAATAATATTTTTTTTTACGATTAAAAATAACATACACGCGATTTATTACTTAAATCGTTCGTAAAATTAAAAATTAATTCTAGACGATTACAATTGTCTAGAATTTATCAAAAGTTGTCGTTCGTTCGGTTTGGACGAAGAAAATAAATCTAGATTATTGAACAAACGCATGTTTACGCCGAAATATCGCGATTAAAAAATTTTATGATACCGTCCCTTCAATGATTGATACGTAAAGAGCTTTCTTCCTGACAAACTTTATTATGGAATTATCTTATTCACTGATAAGACAATCGTACAAACTTTATTATCAAAAACAAAGAGCATTATATTCGATAAGTACATAAAATAAGTGTCGTGCGGCTGTGATTTTTTTATTTCTTGATTATTTTCCTTGCAAAGTTTTCGATACATTTTTTAAAAAAATTTCTTTTAATAAAATTTAATAAATTATCTATCGAATTGATTAATTTATTATTTAATCTCGCCTAAAGAAAATGGTAGACAAAGTGCAGTTTTTTTATTTTATTTTTTTTTCCTTTTCTCTTCTTAAAAATTAGCAAAATTTATTTTACGGATAGAAAAGTTTTTCTGTAAATTTGTGAGGAAATATTTTTGCAAATCATTCATAATATAGAAAATGTAATTACATGCAGGGAAGTGAAATTATTTAATTAAATTCAGCGAGAAAAATTTGCTGGTCAATCAATCGTAATTTTACATATCCGTCGAATTCATAATGCATATTCCAATTTAATTTTTAAAGATTGGCGTTTTTATTGCTTTGTTTTAGTTTCTAAAAATGAATTTTTATTGCGATAATTAGTTAATTTGGTCTTAAACTTTTCCAAATAATAATAAATTCGTCTCGATTTCTTTAAAGTCCAGACATGACAGCTACCGTTAAATGTGAAATTAAACGCTCGAAGGACTGTAAAACATACTTAAGAACTATAATCCATTGAAAAATGAAAGTTTTTACAGAAATAGCTACAGGCAATCCTGGTTTTTCTCTGTATCTTCGTTTGAGGTCCCGATTTCGGGCAGGGCTCTCAAATGTTAATTTTGGCAATTTAAAGTCCTGCCAAATAGACTTAATAGCCTAGTCTTAATGGGAAGAATTTTTATTTTTAAATACCTTTTTAACTTAATATGAATTAACAATCTAATATATAAATTCGATGATGATGAACTTTTTAATAAATATATTTAAAAATTAATTATGCAAATTTTTAAATTTATTTAAATTTTGAAAATCGTATAAAAAGAATGATTAAAGTTATTCCGCCATTTTTAAAAAAATGACAGGTGTTTCGTAGACATAATTTTCATTTTTTAATACTTTTTTTCTTCTTCCCTGACGTATTATATGTATGACGATTTCCCATGTGACATTTTACAAATTACAATTTCCAGATGACATGAGAAAAACAGGAAAGTGAATCAGTTAACAACAGTCATTATGAAGTGGGCCCCGCTAGTGTGAATACTAGAAGAGAGTCTGTAAATTCCAACGACTTAAGTTACAAGCAGTGATTTCAGTCCCCATAGTGTCCCTCTCTTCGCTACATCAGAACATCTTAACTGTCTTGACCAATAAATAAGCTTTATTTTAAAAAAATTAAATCACGTATCAATATCTTACTTGTTACGTTTCTCGAATTAAAAAAAAAAGAAAAGAAACGAGAAACAATCCCGTAAAGACAGATCCGCATACAAATCAATGCTTACGTTGAGAAAGGTCAACAGTGGATTTGACTTTGTTCCGTGTTAGACGATTACAGTTCAAAGGTGAAGGGTCGTTCGTTACGATAGTTCACGTAAATCACCTACATCGTTTCAGCGCCCTTACGATGATTAAGATTCCCGTGATCAACAGGTTATTTTTATAGTCGCCCTTTGACCCGAAACGTTCTCAGAAGAACACGTCACAAACCCTGCTAAAAGTAGAAAAAAAAAATTATATAATTATACTTATTCTGATTTTTTGACATTTGCTTTATATATATATTTTTTTTTCCAGGTGGATAATATTCTGTTATTTAGTTCTACATTCTGGTTTGTTGGGGACTGATTTGGTAGAAGGAAAAAATCGAAAGCGGACACCAAAACCCCAGTTGTCGAAATATGTTCCAGTAGGTGAGAACAATTTTCGTTGTAAAAAAGAATTGTTAAAATTAAAACTCAGGTAAAATATTTTTTTCTGTAAAATTTCCAAAATTCTTATTAAATTAATAGTTAAATCTTTCTGTAAGTTCGGGCGTAAGAATTCCCGAAAGTCGTTACTTCCATTTGTTATGATATTGCTCTATCGCCATTCCTGATTTAAATTGACAGTTTAATTTTCGCAGTTTAGTTAACTATTAATGTCAAAGACATAAATTGAATTCATATCATCATCCGAGACAAGTTGTCAACGTACTTTAATGAAATTCATTCATTGACATCAAATATCTTTTATACGTGACTTTGGCTATTCTTCTCAGTAAATAAATTTATTATTGAAATTAGAACGATGAGAATTCGTGTAACTTCTTTATCAATCGAGATTAATTTAAAATTTTCAATGATTGAATAATTATTAAGTTCGCTGTAAAGTTTTCTTTTTTAAGATAAATTTTAATAATAAGTATTTCACACAAATGTTTTCATAAGAATAAGTATCGAGTCATCGTTGTCATTTATGTATTAGCGATTATCTTCTATAAATAAATTTTATGGAAAATTAAATAAGAAAAATAGGCATGTCTCCCAACTTTAAATCTAACCTCTTCGTTATATTGTAAGTTATTTTATGAATCCTTCAGAAGATATTTTATTATAGAACATTCTATTCAGGATGATGATGAATTAATGATGATTGGAACGTGATTTTTCTATATATAAAACAAAAATTACTGAAGATGTATCAATCTGTATCATTTCACATACGAAACTATTAATCATAACTTTATTATAAATTTAATATTATTATTTTTTACCTTACCCAACATAGGTTTCGGTTATTAAATTTTCGTAAGAAGAGAATTCACGATGTTGTATTTTAAATATATTCAAATTATTAAACATAACGAAAAGTTGAAGATTTTACTTTTTAATAGTCCATTGAATATTAATGTTTAACCTGTAATAGGGACAATATACTTATATTCTTTATCAACTTGTGCTAGAAGCGTCCTTTTTTATGCGGTGATCAATAGATTTTTATCATATTCAAACTTTTTTGATTGACTTTTCTGCAAACGAAAATGTAATTTGGTGTCTGTCACACTTTTCATCCATCATAGTTAGTGACGTTTCTTTAGTCCGGATTCTCTCGTTTGGGGACTAGATGCAGATAAAAATCGTCTCGAGAGATTTATATTTTGTTTGGAAAAAAAGAGATTACTCGTTTGTTTTGAAGACTGCTTTCTTTATTCTTGAAAAAGGAAAGAATAATGAAAGTTTAATTTTAAAATCTGTTAAAATTTAAGAAAAAAAAAACTGTATGATTAATATTTTATTCAGGAAACTATTTCTTTATGAACTTTCACGTAAGTATCGAACTGAAATAAGAAAAAAATATGCAGATTAGAAACGATTGTAGAGAATAAATTTTTGTAAACGGATTAAACAGGAATGTTTTGCTTTTTTGTTAATTTCTATCAAGAACTACATCATCCAACTCTTTCTTGAACAGATAAAGATTTCAGATTTTTAAATAATTTTAAATCTCTTAGCAAATTTGAATTACAACTTCTTAATTTAAATATTTAATAAAGTTATCGGTTTCATTTCAAATTGTTTTATCGTAAAATTTATTAATGGAATGATATTTTTAGATGATCAAAACATTTGCAGAAATTCAATTAACTTTGATAGAAAAAAAAATTCCATGAGATAATTCAAGTAAATATATTTAGTGATAATTTCAATAACAACGCTACGTTTATTGATATCATAGATTTAATAATAATAATAATAATAATAATGTTACATTTAACAGTAATGCATTGACTTCTATAATTGTTTATTATAAATTTTATTTAATTGCCCGATTCTTAGACTTTTGATTTAATGATTGAGTTGTTGAAATTTTAACGATTTAACTGTTTATAATAAGATATTCAATTCCATAATATTTACTCATTTCTCGAAAATATCATCAATTACAAGATCCTACTGCAAAACTTTGAAGAATTATTTATTTATAATTACATTTCAGAAATAAACAGAATTAAAAGAAAAAATGAGGCATACAATTAACTCATAACGATTTGTAGAATGCAGTTCATTTTGTTTTGTGTGTTTGTGTTCGTTTTTGGTTCACATCTATTTATTTTAAAATAAGGCAATGTCTCGAGGACAATATCTGCCACCCCCATGCAACAAACAATTAACGAAACCCATTAAAATATAAATTGCACTAAAATACAGAGTAACAATAACAAGTATATGAATAAGAAATAAAATAAAACGAAGTATATATAAAACTCGATAGAACCATCGTTAAAATGAAAATAATAATACTAGTATCTTACATTTTATTATTATTATTACTATTAAGAAAATATTTTATGAATTATTGTACAAGAGTTGCATGTTTAATAAAATTATTCCAAATTATTTATTTGTCCCCGCTGCATTATCAAGAATTAAAATGAGAAATGTAAATTAGATTTAAATGTCATTTAAGTAAATCATTTCAGGAAAAAAAAGATTAAATATGGTTCTTTGGAGAGTCATACATTACAGATTACAATAACATCTAAATTTTCAGAATTACCGAAACAATTACTTCAATCTTCTGTTTTCATTTCATTAAATAAAAAAGCTATAAGAAGTTCTTAGTTTATAATATTGTATTTAGATAGAAAATAATTATAATTATAATACTTTAGGCTATATAAGAAGCATTAAATAAATAAATAAAATTTTTAACTTAAATGAAAAAAATATATATTAACATTTTTAACTTAAATGAAAAAAATACATATTAATACATAATATGTATAATATTTTTCACACAAATATTATCTTAATAACCGTAATTAGTACAAAATTCATTAGTAAAATGAGAAAAAAATTTTTGAAATATTTGCTTGATTAATCTAACAAATTTTTAAATGGGCAAAAATAAATATTCTTCTATAATTAGCAAGTTTATTTATTTATGTAACTGTTCGTAAAGTGGAAGATATTATTAAATTATAATTACTGTTTTAGCAGACCTGATATATTAATTATTGGCTGTGTCGAATCACTTTCACTTATGTTTTCGTTTAAATAAAAGTAAAACTAACAATAAAATTTTATTTGCAGTTTATGGTACAGACCTATTTAAACTGAAATCACCCTACTTAAAATTATATTTGCACGTATTTTTTTCTAGTTCTATATTAAATATTTAGCCTATATATAAGTATGTTATCGATATCATTAGTTAGTAATTTTCCAACATAAATAATTTTTAATATTATTATTATTATAGCCTAATATTACTGTATTACTCCATGCAGAATGAGATCTCAGTAGACTTTTTTTTTAATCAAAATATTTGTCTACTGAAAAGTTGGATTCCATATTACAACCAACCAAAAATTAAAATTAAATAATTGTAAAAATAATTATAAATTATATAAATACGCGATTTGTAATTACTTTGTTTAATTAATTAAATCATACTCAATAATTTCGTAAAATTTTTTCATAATTATAGTGAAATTTTATTTGACGATTTACTTCAATTCGAATAATGCATATATTGAAGTTTAGCTATTTGCCTATATAGCAGATGAAGATTTATTTCAGTTTCAGTTTCAGAGTAAGAATTATACGTGCTTTCTAATGGATACTTAGGTTTTGAAATTACTAGTATGACGAATGGGAGAAAAAGTACTTTTAAAATTTTAAAGAGATTTCTAAATGACCGGAGAATTTCGATTTTTCTCCTCTGTTTGGCATAAAATATTTCTAAAAATTTAAAGTAAATCCAATTTTTTATTTCCTCACCAACTGATATGTGTTTTTAATACAATTTATGTCGATAAATTTTAGTGGAATTTTTTTTTATATATGACTAACCCGACTATTCTATAGAAGTTACTATTTTTCTTTAGTATATTTTTCGCTACTATTTTATATATTTGATATTAGTTTATACACACACAATACTAACATGAGATAAACTTAGGTTAACTTAAAATGTTATTGTTAGTCGAAATTTTTACATTTTAAATTCTTAATTCTTCGTCGTTAATACGTTACAATGCATTTTATAAATTGTCTCTCGAAACAATTATATCACAGTGAAAATATTGAAACCGCGATATAAAACATCTGCTTAAAAATAACTATAAATTTTTAAGTCTTTATCTTTAACTGTTGTTTCAAGAAATTTTCGTTCTGACACTCAGTGCGACATGTGTTGTAAATAGCATGCTATTCAATCTTAAAACACATAGTAATAACAGTTCGATTTTTCTTGTCACTCTGACTGCTCGATATTTTTCTCCGTTATTGATAATATATAAGTCTGTAAAACTATAACTCACATGCACAATTTTAAGCTCAGTGTATATAACAATATTAGTTAACTTTGACAAAATAGTAACATTGAAAATCTGGAATTTTATTATTTACTGACAGTGTTTAACTCATTTTGTTTAGTAGCTATTGTATCGAACTAAACTATCGATTTATTATTAGTTCGTTCTTTGTGAGAATTCGTTTCTACTGGGAAAAAATCGAAATTCTCATATACTAATAATAAAAAAATGAAGTAAAATAAATTTCCGGTTATAGAAACTATCAATTATTATTATAAACTTTAATTTTGAGGAGATTTTGAAGGCTTTAAATCAGATAATTCCAACGATAATTAATTTAATATTTTACGATATAATGTAGATATTTTAATTAAATTTCTAATAAAGAAATGTTTAATCTGTTGCACTTATCATAATAACAACAATATCCTTATAAGCTAATGTTAGGAAAACTTATAATTGAACAAAATAGATTTTAAAAACAATACGTTTAATTAAATGTCGACTTAATTTTGAATTATAGAGTTAATATCTTTCGTTAATTATCCGTCATTTATAAAATGCGGTATGTTTATATTTAAAAAATAAACATAAAAGAAATATGATTACTTT